TTCGAATGGAACGTTGTGTCAATATTTCAAAGAAACCAGAGAAGAACTTTCAGAGATTACAGCGTGTGTTGCTCTTACGTCCAACAGATAGCGCTGGTTTTCTAACATGCACGTTCTTTACCTGTTACAGGTGAGGCATGTATATAGTAGGTATATAAAAAGACGCGCCTATTCGAATGTAACATTGTGTCAAAATTTCAAAGCAATCGGTTAAGAGGTTTCAAAGATTTCTCTCCCATGAAAAACAGTTTTTCCAAAAAAGCATGTTTTTCCCCGTCACAGACGTGACATCTATATAATCTATATAAATAAAATTGGAAATGTTCGTTTGTTCAAAATCGCTAATCTCCAAAAGATCTTCACCGATTGCTTTGAAATTTTCACACAATGTTCCATTCGCATCCGGCCAGGATTTTATATACATACTATATAGATGTCACGTCTGTGACGGTAAAAATAAAACATGCTTTTTATGAAAAACTTTTTCATGTTTTCATGTGAGGGAAATGTTTGAAACCTCTTTACCAATTGCTTTCAAATTTTAACACAACGTTGCATTCGAATAGGCGCGTCATTTTATATATCTACTAAATACATGCCTCACCTGTGACAGGTAAAGAACATGCGAGTTAGAAAACCAGCGCCATCTGTTGGACGTAAGATCAACACACGCTGTAATCTCCGAAAGTTCTTCACCGATTGCTTGAAATTTTGACAACGTTGCATTCGAATAGGCATTTTATATACCTACTATATAGACGTCACCCCTGTGACAGGTAAAAACATGCGTGTTAGAAAAACAACGCCATCTCTTGCACATAATAGCAACATGCACGCTATACTAAATATGTCACGAATTCCATTTCAATGTTTCCGATTGCATTGATAATCGATTTATTTTAATTTTATTGAATTATTTTGTGTGACATTGTGTTGGAATTGAGCTGTGTTTACCATACCATTCATTTCGTAAGTATAAGTATAGATGCCACACCTGTGACAGGTAAAACTATGCTTTTCTTGAAAAACAGTGCCATCTGTTGCATGTAAGAGCAACACACACATGCCATACTAAATATGTTAAAATTCCATTTCAGTGTTTGATTGCATTGATAAATTGAATTTGCATAGATTCTGATTTATTTTCATTATGATATAATTTTTTGTGTGAATTGCATTGGAATTGAGCTGTGTTGTTTACCACACCGTTTATTTCGTGAGTCTAGTTTATTTTTATTTTTTCACTTAATTTTTTAATTATTTTTCTTATATTTCAGTGATATCTTCTTGAGGTTATCTTGGGATGATTTCGGGGCTTTAGTGTCCCCCTCGGCCTGGTCCTCGACCAGGCCTCCACTCCCAGGAAGTAGCCCGTGACAGCTGACTGACTCCCAGGTACCTATTTACTGCTGGGTGAAAGAAACTCTGCCCATCGTTTCTCGCCGGCGCCCGGGATTGAACCCGGGACCACAGGATCTCGCGTCCAGTGTTCTGTCCGCTCAGCCGCTGGCTTCCCATGATGTTCGGTGATGGAAACATCAGATCACTTGATGTTCCCAATTTTCTGATGGGAACATCAGACCATTTGGGAAGGCATCGGACGAGGGAGTGGGGAATGGTGGGGATGACGAGGGGGACGGAAGTGAGAGATGATGGGGGAGGACGTAGGGACAAGGGAGGGGGTAATGGTGGGGAAGGACGAGGGGATGGGGGAATTTGGGATGGTAGGAACGAGGGGATGGGGGAATGGAGAATGGTGGGAAAGACAAAGGAACAGTGGAGTAGGGCATAGAGGGAAGGAAGAGGGGATGGTGGAGTGGGGAATGGTGGGGAGGACGAGGCAACGGTGGAGTGGGAAATGGTTGGAAGGCCAAGGAGACGGGGGAGGGGGGAATGGTTGGGAGGACTGGGGGACAGGGAAGGTTGCAGTGGCTCAGCAACGCACATGCGTTGCTGAGCCAAAGCAAGGCGTGGCCGGGTACTGCTAGTATGCATATAAAAACCCCGCTCTGATGCGATTGGAACGTTGTGTGAAAATTTCAAAGCAAACGGTGAAGAACTTTCGGAGATTATCGATAATGAACAAACGAACATTTCCATTTTTATTTATATAGATTGAACTTATCTTTATGTATTATTATTAATTCAAAGTGGACTTAATATTTAAAAGTTATCCTGTTAGGTGTTTACCTGTACACAAGTTAGGGGGTGGGGGGTTATGTACGTAGTCTATTAATCAAATAATTTATAATGGTAATAGGTTACAATGTTAATGTTAGCTCTACAACTACAATGGATATGCAAAACTCGCTTGTTCAGTCGTAATGGTGACCGTGAATACTTCCTGTTGCACTAGGACGACTCTTATTTCTTCTTCCCTTGAACTGCACGTGCTGGGTAACTAATAAGTAGTAACCGGTTACTACTACACACAACACATATCAGGGAAGAGATTTTGTATCATAAAGCGAGGGCTTAACCGTTCTGGGGCGTTCTAGTTCGAGAGAGGGGGGAGAGAGGGGGGCGTGAGAGGGAATAGGAAGTGAGAAGGAGAGGTAGATGGGTAGATAGGCAGAAGTAGTAGAAAAGTAGAAAGTAGAAATAGAAAGTGCTGTCACCATCCATTTTATTTCATCACATACAAGACATGGAAGGGAAATTGCCTGTATCACAAAATGATCGAAGGAGTTCATATATAAACTCTAAACATGTATTCATTAAAATCTTCAGCTGCAACCTGTCAAATCAGTAATTGCAGAGGCTCTTTCGCCTCAACTCACAATGCTCTAGGGAACAAAATTAAAGCCAATTTATGCAATAAACTCATCAATTATATTTCACATGATATGTATCATAATTAAAGCAATTCAACTTAATGTTCAAGATCAATATACCAAGTGAGTCATTACACAAGAATTTGAAAACCCTACGGCTGTCTGCCCCTGATAATCATGCAACAGGTGTAAGCGACACATGACAGGTGCAAGCGACACACATGGCAGGTGTAAGCGACACACATGACAGGTGTAAGCGACACACATGACAGGTGTAAGCGACACACATCACAGGTGTAAGCGACACACATCACAGGTGTAAGCGACACACATCACAGGTGTAAGCGACACACATCACAGGTGTAAGCGACACACATGACAGGTGTAAGCGACACACATCACAGGTGTAAGCGACACACATGACAGGTGTAAGCGACACACATGACAGGTGTAAGCGACACACATCACAGGTGTAAGCGACACACATGACAGGTGTAAGCGACACACATGACAGGTGTAAGCGACACACATCACAGGTGTAAGCGACACACATCACAGGTGTAAGCGACACACATCACAGGTGTAAGCGACACACATCACAGGTGTAAGCGACACACATCACAGGTGTAAGCGACACACATCACAGGTGTAAGCGACACACATCACAGGTGTAAGCGACACACATCACAGGTGTAAGCGACACACATCACAGGTGTAAGCGACACACATCACAGGTGTAAGCGACACACATCACAGGTGTAAGCGACACACATCACAGGTGTAAGCGACACACATCACAGGTGTAAGCGACACACATCACAGGTGTAAGCGACACACATCACAGGTGTAAGCGACACACATGACAGGTGTAAGCGACACACATGACAGGTGTAAGCGACACACATGACAGGTGTAAGCGACACACATGACAGGTGCAAGCGACACACATCACAGGTGTAAGCGACACATGAATGGTAAGAGGCTCCTGGCCTGACACCCGAGTAATTCAGCTCTTAGGTGTACTATAGGGAGTAAGAGGAGCAGCGCAGGGCACCAGTACTGACACACCCTAACAGGTGACTGAAGGGGGGAGGAACACAGGATAATTAAGGGCACTAGTCACAAGAGGGCGAGGGAGAACGGTTGGCCCAGTATTACTACGGTAGGTACCATTAATATACACGGGAATTACACTTAAAATATTACTATATATAAATATTGATTTGAAATACAATTTCTATCTATATTTAATAACAGAGGCAGAGATAATTGAATGATAGGTGATGGATACAGGAGAGCCGTGCTTACTATCACAGAGTTCCAGGTTACCTTGAGGAGGAGATGATCTTCCTCCAGGATCTTCAACACCACACATCCCTCACTCATCTCTCACTCATCTCTCACTCATCTCTCACTCATCTCTCACTCATCTCTCACTCATCTCTCACTCATCTCTCACTCATCTCTCACTCATCTCTCACTCATCTCTCACTCATCTCTGCTCTCGTTGAACGTGATCTTCAATGCAGGTGAACGAGGCGTGTGAGGTCATCGGCCTTCTGTTGATGTGGATGATGTTAATCATCCTGGATTTTTATCGATTTTTTAATCTGATTATTTTATCTGAACTCTCAACTCCACGAGTCCACGAGAGATAAAAGGATAACTTTTAATGAACCTGACAAACTTGTGATCACATGACCGTTGACCCGAGTTGACCTGGCCGCGGTGAGCGCCTGAGGGGTGAATTTTCCATTGCTTTCCGCTGACTCTCCGGCCAAGCGCCAACTGTTGATGTGTACTGTTCTGTACTGTACTGTACTGCTCTCTTGTTATACCACCGCCACCCGACGCCACCGCCACCCGACGCCACCGCCAACCGACGCCACCGCCACCCGACGCCACCGTCACCCGACGCCACCGCCACCCGACGCCACCGCCAACCGACGCCACCGCCAACCGACGCCACCGCCAACCGACGCCGTATCAACCACAAAATGAGGCCACTAAGAGTTATACTTAATGAATGCACTTGCCTTATTCATGACTACGATTTAAATTATGCACGACCTATATATTTTCTTATTATATATAATAACCTTAGCCCCCCAAAAAAAAAACAGAATTAAAACATTTTCGTTGTTTAATAAGTAAAACAACAAAAAATGTAACATTCAACTATATAACTGGACACATGATACGAGATCAGAGTGCCTGAAATAATTCATGTACCTCGTCACGACAGGCACGCCCGTCGTCACCCTGACCGGCACGCCCGTCGTCACCCTGACAGGCACGCCCGTCGTCACCCTGACAGGCACGCCCGTCGTCACCCTGACCGGCACGCCCGTCGTCACCCTGACCGGCACGCCCGTCGTCACCCTGACCGGCACGCCCGTCGTCACCCTGACAGCCACGCCCGTCGTCACCCTGACAGCCACGCCCCTCGTCACCCTGACAGCCACGCCCCTCGTCACCCTGACCGCCACGCCCCTCGTCACCCTGACCGCCACGCCCCTCGTCACCCTGACCGGCACGCCCCTCGTCACCCTGACCGCCACGCCCCTCGTCACCCTGACCGCCACGCCCCTCGTCACCCTGACCGCCACGCCCCTCGTCACTCTGACCGCCACGCCCGTCGTCACCCTGACAGCCACGCCCGTCGTCACCCTGACAGCCACGCCCGTCGTCACCCTGACAGCCACGCCCGTCGTCACCCTGACAGGCACGCCCGTCGTCACCCTGACAGGCACGCCCGTCGTCACCCTGACAGGCACGCCCGTCGTCACCCTGACAGGCACGCCCGTCGTCACCCTGACAGGCACGCCCGTCGTCACCCTGACAGGCACGCCCGTCGTCACCCTGACAGGCACGCCCGTCGTCACCCTGACAGCCACGCCCGTCGTCACCCTGACAGCCACGCCCGTCGTCACCCTGACAGCCACGCCCGTCGTCACCCTGACAGCCACGCCCGTCGTCACCCTGACAGCCACGCCCGTCGTCACCCTGACAGCCACGCCCGTCGTCACCCTGACAGCCACGCCCGTCGTCACCCTGACTGCCACGCCCGTCGTCACCCTGACTGCCACGCCCGTCGTCACCCTGACAGCCACGCCCGTCGTCACCCTGACAGCCACGCCCGTCGTCACCCTGACAGCCACGCCCGTCGTCACCCTGACAGCCACGCCCGTCGTCACCCTGACAGCCACGCCCGTCGTCACCCTGACAGCCACGCCCGTCGTCACCCTGACAGCCACGCCCCTCGTCACCCTGACAGCCACGCCCCTCGTCACCCTGACAGCCACGCCCCTCGTCACCCTGACAGCCACGCCCCTCGTCACCCTGACAGCCACGCCCCTCGTCACCCTGACAGCCACGCCCCTCGTCACCCTGACAGCCACGCCCCTCGTCACCCTGACAGCCACGCCCCTCGTCACCCTGACAGCCACGCCCCTCGTCACCCTGACAGACACGCCCCTCGTCACCCTGACAGACACGTCCCTCGTCACCTTAACAGACACGTCCCTCGTCACCTTAACAGACACGTCCCTCGTCACCTTAACAGACACGTCCCTCGTCACCTTAACAGACACGTTCTCGTCACCTTAACAGACACGTTCTCGTCACCTTAACAGACACGTTCTCGTCACCTTAACAGACACGTTCTCGTCACCTTAACAGACACGTTCTCGTCACCTTAACAGACACGTCCCTCGTCACCTTAACAGACACGTCCCTCGTCACCTTAACAGACACGTCCCTCGTCACCTTAACAGACACGTCCCTCGTCACCTTAACAGACACGTCCCTCGTCACCTTAACAGACACGTCCCTCGTCACCTTAACAGACACGTCCCTCGTCACCTTAACAGACACGTCCCTCGTCACCTTAACAGACATGCTTCAAGAAGGACCTGACTGACAAGTGAGACTGGACAACAGTGTTACGTTTTAATTTCTAACCTCCAAAGCCATTGGTCCTGCTGTAGACCAGTGTAGAGATAACCCAGATGTAGACCAGAATATGTAGAGATAACCCAGATGTAGACCAGAATATGTAGAGATAACCCAGATGTAGACCAGAATATGTAGAGATAACCCAGACGTAGACCAGAGTATGTAGAGATAACCCAGATGTAGACCAGAATATGTAGAGATAACCCAGACGTAGACCAGAGTATGTAGAGATAACCCAGATGTAGACCAGAGTATGTAGAGATAACCCAGATGTAGACCAGAGTATGTAGAGATAACCCAGATGTAGACCAGAATATGTAGAGATAACCCAGATGTAGACCAGAGTATGTAGAGATAACCCAGATGTAGACCAGAATATGTAGAGATAACCCAGATGTAGACCAGAGTATGTAGAGATAACCCAGATGTAGACCAGAGTATGTAGAGATAACCCAGATGTAGACCAGAGTATGTAGAGATAACGCAGATGTAGACCAGAGTAGACATAACCCAGATGTAGACCAGAGTAGACATAACCCAGATGTAGACCAGAGTAGACATAACCCAGATGTAGACCAGAGTGTGTAGAGATAACCCAGATGTAGACCAGAGTATGTAGAGAACCCAGATGTAGACCAGAGTATGTAGAGATAACTCAGATGTAGACCAGAGTAGACATAACCCAGATGTAGACCAGAGTAGACATAACCCAGATGTAGACCAGAGTATGTAGAGATAACCCAGATGTAGACCAGAGTATGTAGAGATAACCCAGATGTATACCAGAGTAGACATAACCCAGATGTAGACCAGAGTAGACATAACCCAGATGTAGACCAGAGTAGACATAACCCAGATGTAGACCAGAGTAGACATAACCCAGATGTAGACCAGAGTAGAGATAACCCAGATGTAGACCAGAGTAGAGATAACCCAGATGTAGACCAGAGTAGACATAACCCAGATGTAAACCGGAGTAGAGATAACCCAGATGTAGACCAGAGTAGAGATAACCCACATGTAGACCAGGGTAGAGATAACCCACATGTAGACCAGAGTAGAGATAACCCAGATGTAGACCAGGGTAGACATAACCCAGATGTAGACCAGGGTAGAGATAACCCACATGTAGACTAGAGTAGAGATAACCCAGATGTAGACCAGAGTAGAGATAACCCAGATGTACCTCAGTGTAAGTACCCCGCATTTGCTTTCATGATCTTTTCCAGCTCTGCTTTAAAAATTAAAAGTTTTGGCCTCAACGGCTTGGGCGGGTAGGCGGTTCCATTGGTTAATAACCCTGTGGGTGGAGAAGTATCTCCTGTTCGTAGGTCCTGGCGGGTGTGTGAAAGAGGTGCTGGAGGGTCCTGGTGTACTCACCTATTTGTGCTTGCGGGGGTTGAGCTTCGGCTCTTTGGTCCCGCCTCTCAACTGTCAATCAACTGGTATACAGATTCCTGAGCCTACTGGGCTCTATCATATCTACATATGAAACTGTATGGAGTCAGCCTCTACCACATCACTGCCTAATGCATTCCATCCGTTAACTACTCTGACACAGAAAAAGTTCCTTCTAACGTCCCTGTGGCTCATGTGGGTACTCAGTTTCCACCTGTGTTCCCTTGTTCGCGTCCCGCCAGTGTTGAGTAGTTTATCCTTGTTTACCCGGTCAATTCCCCTGAGGATTTTGTAGGTTGTGATCATGTCTCCCCTTACTCTTCTGTCTTCCAGTGTCGTAAGGTGCATTTCCCACAGCCTTTTCTCGTAACTCGTGCCTCTTAGTTCTAAGACTAGTCTAGTGGCATACCTTTGGATTCTTTCCAGCTTCGTCTTGTGCTTGACAAGGTACGGGCACCATGCTGGGCCCGCATACTCCAGGGTTGGTCTTACATATGTGGTGTGCAAGATTCTGAATGATTCCTTACACAGGTTCCTGAACGCCGTTCTGATGTTAGCCAGCCTCGTATGTGCCGCAGACGTTATTATTTTTATGTGGGCTTCAGGAGACAGGTTTGGTGTAATATCAACTAGATCTTTCTCTGTCCGTTTCATTAAGTACTTCATCTCCTATTCTGTATTCTGTGTCTGGCCTCCTGTTTCCACTGCCTAGTTTCATTACTTTGCATTTACTAGGGTTGAATTTCAACAGCCATTTGTTGGACCATTCACTCAGTCTGTCTAGGTCATCTTATAACCTCCTATCATCCTCTGTTTCAATCCTCCTCATAATTTTTCCATCATCGGCAAACATTGAGAGAAACGATTCTATACCCTCTGCGAGATCATTTATATATATCAGAAACAGTATAGGACCAGGGACTGACCCCTGCGGGACTCCACTTGTAACGTCTCGCCAATCTGAAACCTCACCCCCTCACAGACTCGTTGTCTCCTGTTGCTTAGGTACTCCTTTATCCAATGGAGTACCTTCCCTTTCACTCCAGCCTTCATCTCCAGCTTTTTCACTAGCCTCTTGTGTGGTACTGTATCAAAGGCTTTCTGACAGTCCAAAAATATGCAGTCTGTCCACCCTTCTCTTTCTTGCCTTATTTTTGTTGCCTGGTCGTAGAATTCAAGTAACCCTGTGAGGCAGGACCTGCCATCCCTGAACCCATGTTGATGCTGTGTTACAAAGTTCTTTCGCTCCAGTAGCTCCACTAGCTTTCTTCGCACAATCTTCTCCATCAGCTTGCATGGTATGTAGGTTAGGGACACTGGCCTGTAGTTCAGTGCCTCCTGTATCCCTTGTATATCGCGACTACGTTAGCTGCTTTCCAAATATATGGCAGTTCCTCTGTTGCCAGTGATTTGTTATACACTATGGAGAGTGGTAGGCACAGTTCTTTTGCTCCTTCCTTTAGTATCCAAGGGGAGATTCCATCTGGGTTTATAGCCTTTGTCACATCCAACTCTAGTAAACACTTCCTTACTTCCCCGCTGGTAATCTCAAACTCTTCCAGTGGTTCCTGGTTAGCTATTCCCTCTCTTATCTCTGGAATTTCTCCTTGCTCTAAGGTGAAGACCTCCTGGAATTTCTTATTCAGTTCCTCACACACTTCCTTGTCTTTTGTAGCGAATCCTTCCGCCCCTATCCTAATTTCATAACCTGTTCCTTTACTGTTTGGTGTGTGTGTGTGTGTGTGTGTGTGTGTGTGTGTGTGTGTGTGTGTGTGTGTGTGTGTGTGTGTGTGTGTGAGAGAGAGAGAGAGAGAGAGGTGCTGGGGGTCTTGGTGTGTGTACTCACCTAGTTGTGTCTGCAGGATCGAGCATTGACTCTTGGATCCCGCCTTTCCAGCATCGGTTGTTTACAGCAATGACTCCTGTCCCATTTCCCTATCATACCTGGTTTTAAAATTATGAATAGTATTTGCTTCCACAACCTGTTCCTGAAGTGCATTCCATTTTCCCACTACTCTCACGCTAAAAGAAAACTTCCTAACATCTCTGACTCATCTGAGTTTCAAGCTTCCATCCATGTCCCTTCGTTCTGTTACTATTCCGTGTGAACATTTCGTCTATGCCCGCCAAACACACACCGAAACTACGACGTTGGTACAACGTTCGAACAAGTTTTAACACCTAACCAGTTTTAACAACCAATATAGCAAGTTGTAACAACGTTCCAATACGTCATAAACACGTTAAACCAAGATGTAACCACTTTATTACAAGTTGTAATAAGCGGAAAATAGAGACAGTTTCGGTTTGTGTTTGCAGGGTGTCCACTCTGTCAATCCCTCTGAGTATCTTATACGTTCCTATCATGTCCCCCCTCTCCCTTCTTTCTAGTGTCGTAAGGTACAGTTCTCTAAGGCGCTCCTCATACCCCTTCCCTCGTAGCTCTGGGACGAGTCTCGTTGCAAACCTCTGAACCTTTTCCAGTTTCATTATACAACCCGTTCTCGCAAATTTAATAAGTCAATATTGACTTATTAAATATGTGCATAGGTGACATACTTAACATAATAGTTTCCCTTGAAAAGCTTCATAGAAAACACCGACCTTACCTAACCTACTTAGTATGTTAAGATAAGCATCTTATTGCTTCATAATTACAATTATTACTTAACCTATACCTATAATAGGTTAAGTAACAATTGTAATTACAAAGCTATAAGATGCTTATTTTAACATACTAAGTAGGTTAGGTAAGGTCGGTGTTTTCTATGAAGCTTTTCAAGGGAAACTATTATGTCCCACTGCCCGAAACGCTTTGCGTAATAGTGGCTTTAGGCATTGTATGTACTAGCTCTATCTATAAAGCCAACAAACTTTGTAAAATCTCTTTATGTATGTACCTTTGCCTAAATAAAAATTATTATTATTATTATTATGTTTAGTATGTCACCTATGCACGCAACTAATAAGTCAATATTGACTTATTTAATTTGCGAGAACGGGTTGCATTATATGCTTATTCAGATGGGGACTCCATGATGAGGCGGCATACTCTAAGACTGGCCTCACGTAGGCAGTGTAAAGCGCCCTAAATGCCTCCTTGCTTAGGTTTCTGAATGATGTTCTAACTTTTGCCAGTGTAGAGTACGCTGCTGTCGTTATCCTATTTATATGTGCCTCAGGAGATAGATTAGGTGTTACGTCCACCCCCCAGGTCTCTTTCGCGCGTCGTCACAGGTAGGCTATTCCCCTTC